CCGGGAAAAAGCAATGGAAAAAATATCCTTGGGTGAAGATTAAAAGAAAAAAGTGGCTCTAACTTTATGGCAGCTATCAGTAGTATTTGTTGAAACCACCATACTTTGATGCATAAACAAATCAAAATAAAACTATTCCTTATATTAATGGGTGAAGCAGTGTGATATAATGCAATGGAATGCAAATTGGCCTTCAAGTCAGAAGATCTAGATTCACATTTGTTTCACCTAAGTGGTTCATGGTTTTGGATTTCTTATTTTCTTTGAGCCTTAGCTTCAACATCTATAACATGGGGATAAGATTACCTTCCTTATTCCCTGCCCCCCACTGGTTTATTGTAAGGATCAATTGAGGTGCTTTTTAGAAGTACTGTCTATGTGTTGGTTGTTTTTTGATTTAGTATTAAGAGCTAGATACTAAAAGGGTTGCTGAAGAATTTTCAGGCCCTTGTCTTTGAGGTGATCATGAACCAGAGGCAGCAAGAATGTGGGACTTACGTATCTGTAGCTCCCTGTATCTAGCTTATCCAGACCATGTTTTGTTGCTAGCCTCTGCTAAGCCCATTTTACTGCTCATTTTGCCTGGCCTATGCCATCCCCTCAGCCCAAGAGCAGCTCAAGGGTGGATTGTGGTAGGAGTGCCAAGGATCATGCAGCAACAGCAAGACCCCCTCTTGGAGACTCCTGCGTTTGTGCACTTGGCATTACTGCTTGGACCACTTGCATCCTCTTTGCCTCATTTGTCTCTGTCTTTGCTGCTAATGGCTGTAGCAATAGCACCTTTTATTTTTTTGCTCAAGGATTTCTGATGCTTTTGAAAGTTTTTCCCCCCCTCTCTCTCTGTTGAGCAAACACAAGAGATTATAAGAGACTTGGCTGAAGGATAGAAGTTGGGTTTGGTGACCAGTAGAGGCCTTCAACTTGCAGTATCCAGCCTCTTCAAAGACTGGTCATATAGTGTGCGTTGTATTTTAATCACTCTTGTCTTTGTGTTTTCAGGGAGTCGACGAGTTGAAGATGAAGCCCAGAGCAGAGTGCTGTTCTCCCAAGTTCTGGTTGGTGTTGGCTGTCCTGGCCGTGTCAGGCAGCAGAGCTCGTTCTCAGAAGAGCCCCCCCAGCATTGGCATTGCTGTCATCCTCGTGGGCACTTCAGACGAGGTGGCCATCAAGGATGCTCACGAGAAAGATGACTTCCATCATCTCTCCGTGGTGCCCCGTGTGGAGCTAGTAGCCATGAATGAGACTGATCCAAAGAGCATCATCACCCGTATCTGCGATCTCATGTCTGATCGGAAGATCCAGGGGGTGGTGTTTGCTGACGACACTGACCAGGAAGCCATCGCCCAGATCCTTGACTTCATTTCAGCCCAGACTCTCACCCCCATCCTGGGCATCCACGGGGGATCCTCTATGATAATGGCAGATAAGGTAAAAGGGGGCTGCAGTGAGAAGAGCCTGGTTGGTTTGAATTGAGAGCTTAATGATCCACTTGTTTTAGTGTAAAACTTAATTATAAAAGATGGAAGGTAGTAACCAGAATGCACTGAGTGAGTAGATAGACCAGGGATTAGTCTAATTTCGTGGAGATGAAAGGGAGGGAGAGAGGCTTCTTTCTAGACACTCATAGAGTTTTGCACAGCTTTGTGTGCCCATTTCTTTGTAAATGGATTCATTGAAATGACTAAGAGATACTGAAGCTTGTAGCTTTGTGATCCATTTTCTTCTAATACGCATATGAATAGCTCCTTCAAAGTTTTAAGATAAGGTGTGCTCCAATCTTCCTTGGTAGTACATACTGTTCACCCGCAGCAGTCTCAAGGATCTAAAATGAAAACTCCTTCGAGGCAGGTACTTTTTCTCTTTGAAGGTACAATTATCACAGAGAAGTACTTGCTAAGGTGTCCACACCCATCACACATTGGTCTGTGCATTTTGAATGGATTTTAATGCACAGAACCATTGCAGCTGCATTTCCCCATGCTTACATTTGAAGGCAATGGTCCTTAATCTTGGCTGCACGTTAGGATCACCTGAAGAGCCTTAAGCACTACCAATGCCTGGCTCCTGCCCCCAGAGATTCTGATTATTGGCCGAGGGTATTGCCTGGGGCTTAGGATTTTTAAAAGCTCCCCAGAAGATTCTGGTGTGCAATTAAGGCCGAGAACCACTGTTTTCAGGCCTCAGATAAATCCTAGCCTCTCCTACATTAATATTAGTGGTCATATGACATTGTTCCCTGACATCGACGGTTCTTCTCTAACCACAGAAAATGTTTTGTTGTTTTGTTTGCACATTTGTTGTTTGCTTTGCACATTTTCTACTTATTCACTATTTTTCTTTGCTTGATTGCTTGTTTAGGTACAGCACTTCTCTCACTACGTATTGTCCTTCACAGTTATTTGTATCTCAGATTGATTCATTTCACAAGTACAATATTTATTGTGGGTTTTTTTTTTTTTTTTTTTTGCTTTGGGCATTTTAAATACAAGAGGCAGCTCATGTACCACCATTGACATAGTCAAGGCTTTTCAACAAAATATACACGGTCCTGCTCTTGAATGGTTGTAGCTGCTCGATATACTTTGTAGAGCAGCAGCTAACGATAAAGCAGTTCATAGCTAGAGCTCTGGGGTCAGATAGACCTGGTTCAAATCCTAGCTATTCCACTTAAGGCCATGCCACCTTGGGATAGTTAATTTTCCTGGTTTTCAGTTTTCTTATCNTTTGGGTTTTTAAGATTGTTTCTACCTTGTCATTGTCATCTCATACTTCTTAACATCCTTTTCAAACAGCCATTAGTTTTTTACTGAAAAGACATGCTGTAGGGTTAATGATGTTTGCAAACACCTCAGCACCTAGCACAGACACCACACGCGTGCTCCTGGGCCGGTTGAGAACCATCACAGTGCAGAGCTTAACAGAGTGAAATAACCTTGCGTGATCGCTGTTGCCATCTGTCGGCAGCAGGCGGAGATGATGAGCATCTGTTCCGGAGCTTCCTTTATTCCATCCAGGAAAGGTCAAGTGGAAAGTACTAAGTGGAGAACTTCGGTAGCATATGAGAAAGACACTGAAAGGTAAAGATGTTAGACACAAATGCTGGCACGAGAAGCCCATGCTAAGGGAATGGAGATAAGCTTAAGCACAGTGGAAAATATAGACTAACTATGGCAAAACCTACTGAGTTTTTTGCTTTAGCTAGATTTTTTTTGGTTAACATTTTCCTTAGCAAATTATATTTTAGCAGTAGTATTTTGAGGGCACAATATGGCACTGAAAGATGTGAAGGTGAGTGAGCCAAATTTTTGAAACATAAATAAGTGCATATTTATTTTGAGAGCAAGACAGGTAAAAATGATTTTTTTTTCTTATATGGGTTATTGTGCAACCTATGTTATCTTAGGTCCACCTCATGTCACCCCCAGCCCTAGTATAAGTGGCTATTGGTTAAATCAGTTGGTTGCTTCTCTGTTGTGTCTCTTACAAATGCATAACAGTAATATAAAAATATGAACTAAGATGCAGATCATGTGGGGAGATTGGGCACTTTTGTTCACGGATACATCCTAGGTGCTTTAGATTATCTACCATATGCCGGGCATGTAGTGCTTAGCATGCATGATTTTATTTAATACTCTTACAACCCAGTGAGCTAAGTGGTATTATTTATCTCCATTTGACAGGTGGGGAAACTGAGGCTCAGAGAGGTTAAATAACATATACAAAATGATATATGTAGCTAATAAGTTGCAGCCAGGACTTTAATGTTGGTTGCTCGCTCCAAAGGCCATGTGCTCTATTGCCTCTCAAGAAACTGGAGAGGCTGTTGGGGTCCTACATAACTTCCTATTCTCTACTTTCTCCTCTGTGGTGGATGCTATCTGACTAAATGTAATTCGCCCCTTGATCATAATGGCAATACTGGAATCTGACTAGAGGAGAGAATGAATGAGAATATGAACAGCATTTAGGGGTAGCACAGTTTCATAGAGGGCCCATTCATTGGCTACTCCTTCTAGGGGTAAAGGGAAGATTGAAGCCAGGGAGGTGGGTTCTTCCCAGGTCAGCGTAGTGAGATCCCCCTGATCTCTTTCCCCTAACCCCTCCTATTGTTGCAACCAACCCAAATACCCCATCTTGTCTTTTCTTCTCCACCATGAAAGGGCGATAGGCAATGATTTTTAGGCAGTTTCCTAAAATAGCCTAAATAATGTGTCACTTTTGACCTAAAAAGAAGAGCTTCTAAAAGGTAGGTGGGAAGAAGAAATGGAGGAAAGAAGGAGGTCCTGGTAACATGGAAGCCAGAAAGCTAAAGGCTCAGTCACAAGGGGTTAGATGCCTGAATGGGTAGCTGGTGGCTGCAGAGAAAGGAGCAGCAGGAACCACCAGGACTGGGAGGGCAGCGGGTCCACAATTCCAGGGAGCTGTGCACAGGAACGTTCACAGGGATTTGCATGAAGGCAAGTAAAAAGAATCTCCCAGATTTCAGAGAAATAAGCTTTTGGGTCAAGTTTCAAAAATAAAACACCTCAAATTCGAAGGCCAGTTTTTAAAAATAGAAGTTTATTTTTAAGCACCGTGACCACATTTTACAGACGTAGAATGAGGACACAGAGTTTGGTGACCATGAATCAACTATGAGGCAACAGGACAAAACATTTGAAAATGGAACTGATGCAGAAATTCTAAGAAATACAGCTTCACTGTGTTTGAAGCATAGTCTTTAAGGTATAGTTGTCATCTGAAAGATGATCAGTCAGCCTTCCATTTGGCTTTTCTCTTCTAGGAGATAGGTAATTGCCTCTTTATTTTAACTTAGTTTTTGCTTGTTTGTTTGTTTAGAATAGAATCTACTTATTAAGTGTGCTTGTGGAAGATTGCATGCAGGGATGAAGTCCCTGATTCAAGGAGTTGGTGATGGAAGAAAGAGCATGATTATAAAGATTTTTGACAAAAGTAGTGAGACACAGGCTCGGCATCTGGTCAAGTAGCATGTGCTCACTTTTTCTGTATATGTTGATTAATCAGGGCAAACGTTAATTAGCGCTCTGCTTTCTCAGTGAGGAAATGCACCTTCACCCATGGCCAAAAGAAGCATGGCACCAGCAGAGTAGAGCTGTTCAAAGTTCAGAATTTGGAGTCAGAGTGGCTTTCAACCATCACTTCCCAGATGTGAGGATCTGGACTACTCACCAACTGCTCTAAACCTTGATTTCCTTGCCTGTATAATGGGGACAATAATATATTCATTATAGGGTTGTTGAAGAATAACTGAGATAATACATAGCAAGTGTTTCACTAAGTATCCAGCATAGCATTCAGCAGGCTAAGCTGAAGGTTGTATTGTGCAGTTTGAAGAAAGGGCGAAGGTTTCATGATACAGTCATTTCTGAACTGGAGACCGGTTACCTGCCTCCTGCAATGGCTGAGCGGTATGAGTGGGAGCCATGGTCTTGTCCCCTAAGGGCAGCTGAGGCTCATCAGTGATACAGCCACAGTTACCAAAAGGGCACGTTTAGTTAAAGAAGAGCTTTAATAAGGAAAGAACTGCCAGGCCCTTGTAATAAAAAGACTTTTACAATAGTAACAGAGACAGCTGAAAAATGTATGGGGTGATTTTTGGCAATTCCCTGCCTGGGTATAAGGAGTATATTTTATTTTTTCTTGTTATAATTACTTTTATACTTCCTGAGATCCTGGACTTAGGATGCCCATCTGAATCCAAATAATGAACTAAAGCTAGCTGTATTTCCATTTCTTTCCAGGCGGTTCCTTGCTGACTTGCTGAAATCTTTCTTGGCTTTTCAGATTTTAGCTCAGAGAGGTTAAGTAACTAATCTGGGATATCATAGTTTATCAGCAATGGGATGGGATTCCAATCCCAGAAATACCTATTTTGAAGCCTGTGCTTTCTATTTATACAAGTTTGCCTCAAAAAGCATTTAACTAAGAATTACAAATCCTGAGTTGTAGACTCCATTCTTAAGAGCTTTGGAAATTGGGGCAAACAAATCACTGAAGCTAACTGATACTCAGTTTACAGTTTATAATATTTAAATTTTTTTTTCTGCCCTACTCACTTTACAACATTTTGAAGAGAAAATGAAGTAAAATATGTGGAAAATTATGGAAAAGCACTGTGCAAACATATACTTTCGGTGAGAGAAATAAGGAATGGTAGTAAGGAAAGGCAGGCTTATTGACAGTTCTTTTGTTACTGGCATTAGGACCAATGAAAGTGGCTTAGGCAGGAGATAGGAAGGAAAACAAGACATGGAAGTTACAGTAGGATCAGGCAAAACGATGTGAGGTCCATTTTTTAATGCTGCAAGAATGGAAGAGAGAAGGGTATGCTGAGTAAGAGTCAGGGCCTGGAAATAGATGGCTTGATTAGAGTGAAGAACAGTAGCTAAAATATGCATCATATT